TTAAAAACTAAGAAAAGACAACAGAAATGCCCATGGGAAATAAATCAGGATCACTTGAGGCTCTCTGCTTTCCTAGAGACTTTTCATTTGCTAGAACTACATCTTAGAAAACACTGCTCAAAAAACTCTGCTGTGTACTTTGGTCTATCTAGGGCCATAGATCTGGGTCAAGAATAAAGCCAGTTGGGAAATTAATGATGAGGATTAGGCCAGAGTCTCCCCTGGGATCTGGCAACTGAGAGAAGCTGGCCCAGAGGAGGCCTGGTGCAAATACCACCTGGGACTGTGGCTGTGGTGACTCCTGACCTGCTGGAAATGACCAAGCCATGAATTGTGCTCTGTGTCCATCCAGCAACCCTGCCAGGCAAGGAGTGCAGAGCTGCAAACTACCACTATCCATGTGGAAGTGAAAAACAGAACTCAGGGACTGAATCCAGCCTCTGGGTCAGCAGCTAGGGGTTTTTTCATCTCAGGAGGAGGACAGAAAGTAGAAATCACAAGTTCAATATGTTGAAAAGTGGAATTGTGTAACTGCAATTGCAGTGCTGCCCATTGCTGCTGGGCAGGGTCAGGGTCACAGTGGCCACTCCAGGACTGTGCTCCTGTCCACAGTAATAATGGACTGGGGGGGGGTAATGTGGCACAGATCAGGTCACTTGTGCTTTGTCCAAGGGGATTTTATCCAGGTACAGAGTGATGGGAATTTTAGAGACAAGAATTCTCATTTAAACTTCTGTTTAGTCCCAGTACCTCTGCACAATTGGAGGACCATGATGATGATGGACAAGGAAGGGAGGCAGCTGGTTCACATCCACTGACAGCTTTGGTGAGCTGAAGAGTCTGGCACACCAGGAGAGCCAGTGTCTGTAGTCTGCCCCATACAGGACAAGGCCAGAGATGGCCCCAGCAAGGAAACATCTCCACATTGTCCACGCGCTGCTGATCTCTGTACCATGTCTCCTGAGACAAAAGGAACTCCCCAAAGGATGTCTCTGGGTATCTTCTCAACTGGCACAGGACTGGGTTTGCTATTTCCTTATCTAACTCTGTGCTGAACCTACATGTCCCCTCTTACAATTGCTGAATGCCTTCTCCCCAAAACACAGTTCTACAGAGGCCAAACATTCCCTCCTGAGTGAAGGGAGACTTGCAAGCTGCCTGTTGCCCTGCTCTCAGCTGTGAGTGGCTCAGGCTGCACCTAGAGCCTTTGACACCAATCTCCTGTGCCATAGCACTTGTACTGTGTTTTTAGGACCAGCTTGCAGGGAAATGCCAGCTCACCTGCTCTGCAAGTCAGGTGGCTGGTGAAGGTGCCACATCCTGTTCTACTGCTTCAGCAGCAATGCTCTCAGAGGGACTGCAGCCCTCATGGAAATAACACCTGCATGGCAGAGAGGGACATCGTGCTCTTGTTTTTAACAACCCTTTCTTTTATCACTGAAGATCCTTATAATCAACTTCCTCTGCCTGTTGCCTTTGGAAACAATAAAACACTTTAAAAAAGGAACAGCTTGTATGATCCTGTTCTCGGTCATAACCACTGAAGTGAATGTATCACTTAACATTTATGACAATCCAGCTGGATGGAGTCCTGTCCATGATTGATAGCTACACTTAGCAGCGTCATGGTTTTGATCAGCTGAGACAAGATCCAAGGGGATTAAACGCTGGATGACACCTCAGTGGAAACCACAGCACTGGGAACACGTTTATATGTTGGGATAATGGATGAATGTGCTGCTCCAACACATAAATATTTATACTTCACAGTTTTGCTGAAAACAGACAGGAAACCTTTGTTCAAACCAAACTGACGGGAACAACACTCACATGCTGAATACACAGACTCAGACCCCAGATGTCTGACTGCTGCTGAAAAACACCAGATCTCTTTTTTAATACATGAAGTGCCGAGGCCTCTACCCACATCTGCCCCTACCAGCAATCCTACCCATGGGGTGTCTTACATCCCCAAAAGCTGATGGCCAGTACTTCACAAACATCTCCTATAACCAAACTCAACTCCTCTCAAGGACCAACACCTTTCATGAGGGATGGAGTCACTTTGTGAGTGAAGAACAGTATTTGTGTTCTACAGGGGGAGGAGAGATATGGGACCACAATACACTGAAACTCAGACAATGTACCTTTCTCAGGGCTATAAAATTCAAGGGATCTACCAAATTATATATGTACAAGGCCTTCCAGCAGGCACTGGGGGCTTTCAGTTCTGGGGTTCCCCCATGTCTGTCTTGACAGTTCTGTATTCAGACATTTGGGAAATGGCTGCAAGGTCTGGATCTCCTCCTTAGGTTTGGTGACCCAATCCTTTTGTGCATTGGTGCTTCCTGCATTAGCAACTCCTGTCCCATTCCATATGCTGCTGTATTACCACTTCCCTACAGCAAAGCTCCCAAATCTGCTCTAGAGCAACCTGGTATGGAACACAGGATGTCCAGACTTTCTGCCAAGGAAATCCAGCAGCTGAAGTGGTTAACTTCAGCTGTCAGCATGGGCAGAAGGAAATAACCTTGAGGCAAAGAAAAGTCAACATTTTCCACATGTATCCATCTGGCTAGGCTAACATATCTCTCAATTATTCTTTTTAAACAAGTGTCACCACTTAAAATAAAAAACTAAATTAAACTCTAGCTCAGCAAATGCAAAAATTTCAGACACAATCTTTTTGCACCTAATTTTTTAATATGGTATATATTGATACCACATGAGTTTTTCCTAAATTAGTCACATTTGGACATTTTCATAAATTTTCTAGTCATACCTGTAGCTCCCAGTTTTCCTTATAATTTTACTCTGATATTACAATGGAAGCATTTGTACTGATGTGCTATGTACATATATGCTGAAAGGCTTCAAGTGTAAAATGTGACACTGTTCTTTGTTCTAAGACCACATTATTACCCTGACTGCAGGGCATAAGAGATAAATCCTGTATTTAGAAAAGAAGCAGTAAATATTTCTTGAGAAACCTGTTTTTAAGGATGGCAGCTGTCTACAACTTTGGGAAAGTCACCCTGCATCCCTGGGAGACAGATTACCAAGCAGGGCATGGAACCATAGGTGTGTGCAAAATTGCACAGTTGCAGTGTCTGCCCACACTAATGACACCTTCCAGCTCTGGCCAGGACATCACTTGCATATTTGTATTTGGGATACACTTACCTACACAAGATTTATAGCATTGAGCCCATTACTAAAACCTCTTGATCCCAAAAGTGTAGGACAGTGTCTGCAAGGTGCTGACCTCCCTCAGCTTTCTCACAGACCACAGCTGACTTCCCTGGCCTTAGGGAAGAAGGGGAAAGAAGAGGGAAGGGATAGCAAGGACGTGCTTATCACAGTGGGTTCCACCAGTGGCACCTCAGAGGTGCCAGGGGTGCTCACTGATGCTCATCCTGTTACTGATGTCTGCTTTTGCTCAGTTCTCAACTCTCTACTGTTCTCTTGTCTTCCCTTCAACCTGTGCTGCCTTTACTCTTCCCAATGAACATCATGTCTTCTGCCTGCTCCATTAATTCTTTGTCTCCAGTGTCTGCCCACCCAGCTTAACAATTTGGAGTATTTACTGTGCAAAGAAAGGGAGAAAAAACACCAAAAGAGACATGGTAAAAAACCAACACAAAACAGTTAGAGATGCACTGGGATGGGGAATGGGGGTGCTCAGACCATTCATCCTGGACCATCTAAATTAAAAGCCTAAGGATCTTGTTACAGGGAGATGTGCTTTTTTGGATATATTCTCTGGTGCAGTTCCTCTTTTTCACTGTCTGTACAGGGAATTTAACCTCCTAATCTCTGTAATAGCAACACTATCCTTCTCTCTACCACACTGAAATCACCTTGCAGTAACCACTGCTTTGTGATGGTGCAGTAACAAGCCATTAGAGGATGTTCCAAATGAAAGAACTAAACATTCTCTGGATCCCACAGATCTCCATGTTTATTCTACCGTCTCAAAGCAAGACCTGTTCACTAGTTTATAAATCCCTTCTGCACTTTCAGCTTGGACAAAGTTGTGGCATATCCTGTGCATGAGCTGGAAGTGCCAGTTACAGGGTGTGGACTCTGGACTATTGTATATATAAATAAATGCTGCTGTGAATAATGCTGCTCTTGATCAATACCCACTTTGATCGACTCATCAATGCTATTTCTTTTTTTTAAGGCACTTTACTCCATGGAGAGCTTAGAGCTGGATGAACAGTGGCACATGAAGCACTTTTTGAAAAGTAGGAAAAGGTCAGCTCAGACATGCAAACTGACAGCAAGCTGAGAGGTAAATCGTAATCAGAGGGCATGGAGAAACCAAAGCAACAAATCAAAGATTGGCTTAGGCCAGCAAAGGTAACTGACTCTCCAGCAGTGATTTTGAAACCAGCAAAGGTAACTGACTCTCCAGCAGTGATTTTGAAAATAACTTTTGCTGACTCAAGAAAATTAAAAATAGAAGTCAGCCACAAAATTGAATTTTCCCTGTGTTTTCAGAATTTTTTTATATAGCTTTAATAATTACCTAGGGTTATTAAAATACTTAGGATTCCACTGTGACAGAAAAATATCCATATGGCCATAACAGCAATGCCACTCCTGTATCGGTCAGCATGAAGCTCCAAAATTCACAGTGGATGTTCTCTGAGTACCAAAAAGCACACAACTCTTGCACAGCATAACAAGATTTTGACTGTGCTTCTCTGTGTCTACAGATTGAGAATTAAAAGAAACAGGAGTAGCAGCTGAATACCTAGATCACATTGTGCAATAAAAATCTGGTGGAAACCAATTCTGCAGGAATCCACCAAGGATCTTGTGACATCCATATAATTCCTTGTTAAAAACATCCTCAAAGCCTCCCTTGTTTTAACGGAGTAAGTCCATTACACATTCCAGCAACAAAGCCATTTTTATCATCAGAAGGGCATTCCAATTACACAGAATGCTTCTCCCAAGACAGTGTGTGACTTCTCCAACTCCCAACTTACCCTCCAGGGCACAGAAACGTGTCACCTGCTCCGGCATCAGCTTCCCGACCTTGTGCTGGCAATAAACGTCCGCGATCTCCTGGCGACACTGCTTGGACTTGGCGCGGGACATGGCCGAGATCGCCTCCTTGCCCGTCACCTCACACTTGGGTGGTTGGTCGTATTTCAGTTCTGGGGAGCTGTTCTCAATTTTCTGTAAAAGATGCTGTGTGGGAGACCTGTCAATCTCCTTCAGACTGTTGCTGTAGCTGCTGTTTTTTCCCAGGTGATCACTGAACTGCACCACCTCATTGGAGTTCTTCCCCAGCAGCAAGTTCTCCTTCATCTTTTCCTCTTCCAGTTTCTTTCTCAAGTGCTCCTTTTGTTTGCTAAGGGGTTTTTTCACCAGTTCAGACTGGTGTTTTTGCCTCTGAGTCCTAGGAGCAAAGTTACTATTATCAATAGTTTCAAAGTCCTTGGGGACTGAATTTTCATTATTGCTGTCTGTTCGCATTTTCTCTTTCGGCCGGTGGGAAAAATAGCCATCCTATAAATGGGGAAAAAAATTATACTCATCTTACTAAAACAGTCACATCCCATGCATTACAAGCATTTCTTACATGAAAACATAGATCAACTACAATGTAACATACTGCAAAAATCCCTGTGTTGGGGTTTGCAGCAGACAGAAGCTGAGAGGCCTCTGGGGTGCCCAAGTCACCTGCACTGGCATCTCTTCTCCACTGGGCCAGAGTCCAAGCCCTATCTCAGATGGAGCAGGGAGGATTTACACAGGTTTGTGAGCAGTGATTAACCAGACATTTCACCCTGACACCATTAAATATCCATGAGAAAACAGACACGGGTTTCAAGGGAGCAAAAGCAGGTCCTTCCATGCTTTCCTTCACTCCCTGTGACTAACACAGTCTGGTATCCCAGAACTGCTTTGTTGCTCTGCAGAAAGCACCACCTGACTACAGCCTGAGCTTTCAGTGAAGTAACTTTGCTACAAAACAAATCCCTCCCAATTTTGCCCTTTGTTTTTTTTTTGAGTTCCTACACATTTACACATTTAAACCCTCCCTGGGAAGGCCAGAGTCAGGCTCAGGTGTCAGCTCTTAACCTTCATGTTCCTCCACTCAATGGTCTTAAATACAGAGCCCATAACTTTGCAAGATTCAAAATCTATCATATAAAGGAAAAGGAATAGACCATGTAAAATATTTGCCTGCATCAGGGGTGGGTGAAGTTGAGCTGCCTTTGCTCCAGCTGTGGAAACTTGTGGAGGACACAATTTTTAGACCTGTGGACATGGAAATATCTCTGTAAAAGTGAACACTAGCAGATAAAATCAATGATGAATGGTTAATGAAACCTCTTAAAACAGGAGTAAAAATATTGATAGACTTTTTGAGTCTGTTCTGTTTCCTTTCCACTTGTGGAACACTTGATCAAAAATCAGAGACTGGGAAATGACAGCATCACTAATCATGACTGATGGGAGCATTTCAGCACCTATCAACCACATTTTGTATTCAAAACATTTTATCAGCATGAGCTAATTGTTTCTCACATCTCTTCTGGGAGGAAGTATTTAACAGTCAGGGTTTAAAGAGAAAGGAGAGGGAGATAATGACCTATCCCAGGCCATGCAGGGAGTCAGTATCTGTTTGACCTCTGAAGCTCGGCAATGGGAAATGTTTGAATAGTTTATTCATTTAGAAGGAGTTGTTTAGTGAGTGAATAAAGTGACTTTTTGACTCTCCATGAAAATGTCTAGTTTGCAACTAGCTCAAGCTATCAGACACAGAATAATGCAAAGGAGTTAAAAAAAAACCAAACAACACCAGACAACAACTCACAAACCAAAACCCAAACATTTTTCAAACAAACAAAATGCTTCTAGTTTGAGGAGAAACATTTTTTAAAACATAAAATTCTAATGTTTAAGGGAACACATGAAATCAATTTCTTTTCTCAGAATCACTTTAAGGAAAAGAATAGCTTTTATACAGAAACACAGGTTCATTGAAGTAGAAAAAGACTTCCAGGATCTGAAGCCCAACCATTAATTCAACACTGCCAAGTCCACCACTAAACCATGTCTTCTGGTGCCACATCTACTCAGCTTTTAAATCTCTGCAGGGATGATGACTTCACCTCTTCCCTGGGCAGTCTGTTCCTGTGCTGGACATTTTCCATGAATAAATTTTTCCTAATATCCAATCTAAAGCTTCCCTGGCACAACTTGAGGTCACTTCCTCTTGTCCTGGGATGTTACCTGGGAGACAAGACCAGCCCTGACCTGGCTGCAGCCTCCATTCAGAGAGCTGTAGAGAGACATAAGGTCTCCCCTGAGCCTCCTTTGCTCCAGGCTGGAGAATCCCTGCTCCCTCAGCTGCTCCCCAAAGGGCTTGTGCTCCAGCCCCTTCCCCAGCTTTTGTTTAAAACCAAAGAGAAACAAAATAAACAAAACATAATTTCAAGGCAGCCTTCATTCCCAGGAATGACCAAACCAAAATTAAAAAAAAATTACTTTAAGAGCCTGGCTCCCATTACTTATCCTGTATTTCAATGGATCTTCAAAGAAAAACACCAACCCTGCCTTCTTCAATAAACCTTTTCTAAGGTCTCTAAGGCAATGCCATGGTATTTCTACATATCTTGGCAACATTCTCACAGGCTGACTCTTGCTAAATTATTTTTGTCTTCAAATTTAAAAAAAAAAACGAACCTAATCTGTAAAGCAAATGCACATTGATGAAAGGGAAAGGAAGGGAGATGAGATGTTTGCTATTGGTTCTTCACAGTAATTCTTATTACCCACTCAGGAGACAATGGCTGGCACCAGAGCAACAAGCACACACCTCCCATGTCCCAGGGAGAGCAGAGCCCTGCCTGCACTCTGCCCTCCTGCTCCTTCCAAACCTCTCTGGAGCATGACAGAGTGCCAAGAGATGAGGTGTGGGCAGGTTCTTGTTTCCAACAGCGTCTGACACTACACTTTGGTGATGCTTCAATGGGAACTGTTGCTCTCCAGTTTGCCACCCCTGCACCAGGAGAGCTGGACGAGCTGTGCAGCTGCCCTGGGACTGCCAGAGGCTGCAGCTCCAGGCTTGCAGCAGTGATCCCCCCACGCTGGGACACAGCACAGAGCTGGGATGAAACCTCAGGAGAAAAAGGCAAAGCAAACAGATTTACTGGTGTATGGTTCACCTCTTTAAACTATTTTCCTCTTTCAAGTGCTTTGTGCCCTCTGGGAAATGCTTCTCCAAGTCTACATGCTGGAATCTGAAAAAACAAATTAATTCTAAATGCTTCCAAGGCAGACATAAAACAAAGCAGGGCCACAACTCTTCCCTGTCTGCAGGGACAGTGAACACCACAAAACTCCCACCACACAGGACACCCAGTGTCTGCAGGGGTGTCTCTTTTGAGATAAATAAATCAATCAGGGTCTGTACACAAGTATAAAACCAAGAGCTATAGATATACCTTAAAACATAAGGCCAAGTAATAAATATCACAGCGGGAAAGTCAAATCCAGCCTCACACAATCTCACACCTGCTGGTGCAAGTGTTAAATGCCACAAAACCCGAAATCTCCACACGCCTTTGATCCTCCCTCTCGCCTGCTTTCACCGAAGCCAAGCGTGATTTTTGCAGTACAATGATTTCGAGATAGGGTCCACACGTGAGAGCAGAATGTTCAGAGGAAATGAAACTCAGCACTCTGAGCTTAGAACAGCAGCAGCTGCTGACAGTAAGTTGTGCTCATTTGTGATGTTCAGGGGTACAAGCAAAAAGCAGCACATCAGGTTTTCAGCTGGCTATAGAAAGATGGGTTTTACTTGCTCTGCAATACTTTATTTTTACAGTGCTGGATTAATTGCAAATTTTGTCATGAATGTCTAAGACATTCAAGACAAGGCAGAGTCATCTCACAAAAAGATGATCTTGAAACCAGGCAATCCCAGTTCTGACAGTACCATGGGACATACATCAGCAGGTTCACTGTCTGAATCATCAGTTTGTTCAAATTTTATCAGGCTATTTGTTAGCAGCACCTCCTTATCTCTGTGCTTGCAAATCACTGAAAAAATGGAAGGCCATACCAGGACCAAATGAGAAGCATAAACCTATTAATACAGCCCATATGTGTCCACAGCCAAAGATCAAAACAGTATTTTCAAACCAGCACCTAACACTGCTACTGAAATCACCGTTTTGGTCTTTGCATTAGAGCAACTCTCTCTAGGCATGGACCAGAAGAGGCTCTATTCAAAATCAACTCATTTGGGAGGCTACCTTACCAAATTACCCAGTGTTACAGGTATCACACACAACTCACCCAAGAGCACATATTTCACCTGTGCCTTCCTACAGTCCTAACCTGTGTCAGTTTAAAGCCACCCCCTCTCATCCAATCACTCCATGCCCTTGGATCCCTCTCCAGCTCTCTTGGAACTGCTTCAGGTGCCAGAAGATGCCATAAAGAAACCTCTGGAAACTTTGCAGCACCGTATTTCCAAGCTGAAGCGTGATGCTGTGGATGTCTATCACAGAACACAGGCCTAAGAGAAGGACTGCCACAAGCAGAAATGTTCTGTCCTAACTTTGTCTGGTTCTCAGAAGATACAAGGAGAAGTTAACTGCTGAGTACTCATGGCAAGAGCCCTAGGGAAAGTTTTAATGACTGTGGGGCCTCTTCTGAGCGTGTGCACACTGCAGTTCAGGAATAACAAGCAAATGCTCCAAAACTGGGAAAGAACAGTCTGTACCCAGGAGTGTGCATGAGATCACTGCCAATTACATACTGATTGCCATTGATGCTAAAAATAGTATTATAATATTAATGCAAAAACAACATTTTCAGCTCAGAGTCATTTTATGTAATGTGAGAATTCGAATTCTGCTCCAAATTCTGCTCCCTGTTCAACACACAGATTTTAAATCTCCAAACTCCACCTCTGGTGTGTTTTATTAAAGTTTGTCAGACACAATGTATGCTCTTTGGTGTATTAGCCACTTTATCTGCAGTGATTGAGGGTCTGGGGCTTAGGTACTCTGAGCTTGATTGAATTCAAAGTCCCATCTATCTCAGGAGGGAAAGCCTGGGTTTCTGCAGACTTTGCAATCTACTGAGGAAACCATGGAATAAATTGCTGCTGTCACCTACTACAGACCCAACAACAGCTGCTGCTGCCCACTGCACCTAGCACAAATACAGAGAATTTGGAAGAACTTCCCAGCTGTCTGTAATGACAAATGGATTTTAATGACAGCCTGTTAACACTCTCAGAGGGTTTGCAAGTACAACCCACACCAGTTCAGCCAGACTACAGGTAAGTTTACACACCTGCAGACTGCCTCCCTTCACATTTTGCTTGCCTGTATTTGCAAGACACTTCTGTCACCTATATTTGCATCCAAGCTAAGAATGTTCAAGCATAAACATGCACATGTGGTTACCCCGGTCACCAATTCACAATTCAGGTACAGTTCTGTATCCTGTGTGCTTAAGGCAGGAGGTTAAAGACTGGGCTC